ATAAAATATTTTCAAATATCCTAGGGAAAGAGCTCATAATTTTTCATGTATTAATTATAAATTAAACATTGTCTATCAATCTTTGCTTCAATTCTTAATGAGTGTTTTTATCTGAGTTTGTTTTTTATTAAATTTCCCTTGGGAGAGGAATGGTGGATTTACAGATCTTTTACTAGGGACCATTTATTATGGGCAATTTGCTAAGGCCATAAATTTTGCAGCTGAATGACAACAGTGAGGAGGGAGTAGAGCAAGCAGTGATTGAAGTTGGGAAACAGGGCAGGATTAAAGGTGGCTTGCACAGAAAACAGTTTTTACATTTTGATATAGCCCCATTTGACCTGGGTTAAAAGAACCACGTTAACATGTCCTTTGAATGAAAATAGCCACATCAAAATGGACTGCTTCACTCAGATGCCTATCATAACATTCGCTCTGGTTCAAAGGACTCAGGATTCACAGGCCTAACAATAAACACACAGTTTCAGCTTCTTCTGAAGATCAGAAATGCTGTGGATTGGAATCCTGAGTTGTGAGGCCAGTTTGTTGAACCAAGATTTGGAGCTAGCCAGTGAACCTAGCAGACGGCCCAGCATTCAATTCCCACTGAAGTTTGGCATTCTCAATTCCTGTAACTGCCCAAGGGATTCACCTTGCCCATTGCCTACCCAGAGCCAATTCATCAAGCCAGGGGAATTGCAATAGAGAAATTCATGCAGAGCCGGCTGTGCGGGAAACCAGTTTTATTATTACTCAAATCAGTCTCCCGGAGCATTCGGGGAGCAGAGCTTTTAAGGCTAACTTGGTGGGTGGGGGGAAGCCAGCTAGCCAGGAGTGCTGATTGGTCAGAGATGAAATCATAGGGAGTTGAAACTGTCTTATTGTGTTGAGTCACTTCCTGGGTGGAGGCCACAAGATCAGATGAGTAGTTTATTGATCTGGGTGGTGCCAGCTGATCCATCAAGTGCAGGGTCTGCAAAGTATCCCAAGCACTGATCTTAGGAGCAGTTTAGGGAGGGTCAGAATCTTGTCACCTCCAGCTGTGTGACTCCTAAACCATAATTTCTTTCTTTCTTTTTTTTTTTTTTGAGATGGAGTCTTGCTGTTGCCCAGCCTGGAGTGCAGTGACGTGATCTAGGCTCCTGGGTTCAAGTAATTCTCCTGCCTGAGCCTCCCAAGTAGCTGGGATTATAGGCGCTCACCACCACACCTGGCTAATTTTTGCATTTTTAGTAGATACGGGGTTTCACCATTTTGGCCAGGTTGGTCTCTATCTCCTGACCTCATGATCCACCCTCCTTGGCTTCCCAAACTGCTGGGATTACAGGCGTGAGTCACCGCCTGTAGTCCCTAGCCAAGAAGGAGGTCTGCTTTGGGAAAGGGCCATTACTGTCTTTGTTTAAACTATAACTTTCTCCCAAAGTTAATTCAGCCTACTCCCAGGAATGAACAAGGACAGCTTGGAGGTTAGAAGCAGGATGGAGTGGATTAAGTTAAATCTCTTTCACTGTCTCAGTCATTTTGCAAAAGTGGTTTCACTCCCATCATTTAGTGGGTGACTCTACTTACGTGATAAAACCAGTGTTATATATTTTGTTTGTTCCGTGTGCGTGTGTGTGTGTGTGTTTGGGTAATATTTGGAAATAAAACGTTAATGAAATCTTCAAAAGACAGTTAATTAGTAATAGGGCATGGGGGTGAGTATAGGAAATACCAGTGTCTTGTTAGGAATGTGATGCCAGCAGTCAGGTTCTTAGACGTCTAAGTTTGTTATTTTGGTGGTTCAGGAGTGTTTTAGAAAGGGAAATAAAAATGACTGGTTTTCCTTTCTTCTGTAGTAATACAAGCCTAAGTATTTTTCTGAGCACAAGACCAAACAAAAGAAAGACTACTTTTCCCACATGTCCCTGGAACTACTTACGGTTCTGTAATTAACTTGTGCCCAATAAGAGGTGGGAGTAAGCTCTGTGCAACTTGGGGAGTGGGTATGTTCTCCCCTGCCCCTTCCCACTGGCTGGAATGTAGACACGTGGTGAGGCATCCTGGACCAGGTGGACCAGAGAACTCCAGTGTGGCAGACCAACAAGGAAGAAGACTGTGAAAACACCTTTGCAAAATTATGACAGACAGTGAAAGAGATCTAACTTAACTAATTCCATCTTTCTTCTAACCCTCAAGCTGTCCGTGTTCGTTCCTGGGTGTAGGCTGAACTAACTGTGGGAGAAACTGAGCTTACAGTTTAAAACAAAGACAATAACAGCCCTTTCCCAAAGCTGACCTCCTTCTTGCCTGGGCACTAGATTGCCTTTGTAGGACTAACATTAGCCACAACATTAGAAATCAAGATTCTGACCCTCCCCAAACTGCTCCTAAGACCAGAGCTTGAGATATTTTGCAAATGCTGCACTTGATAGATCGGCGGGCAACACCCAGATCAATAAACTGGCTCACCTGATTCTGTGGCCCCCACCCAGGAACTGACTCAGTGCAAGAAGCCAGCTTCATCTCCCTATGATTTCACCTCTGACCAATCAGCACTCCCGGCTCACTGGCTTCCTCCAACCCACCAAATTGTCCTTAAAAACTCTGCTCCCCGAATACTTGGGAGGCTGATTTGAGTAATAATAAAACTCATAGCTGGCTCTGCGTGAATTACTGTTTCTCTATTGCAATTCCCGACTTGATAAAGATAAATCAGCTCTGTCTAGGCAGTGGGCAAGGTGAACGCATTGGGTAGTTATAACTGGACCCCTGACAACCTCACAGCCACAGCTGCTATACCAGCCCAGACTTTTACATTTGAGAGAAATTAACTTCTCTTTTTATTGATACGTAGTCATTGTACATATTTATGGGGTACATGTGATATTTTGAAACATGCATCCACTGTGTAGTGATCAAATCAGGGTCACTTCAAGATATTCATCAACTCAAACATTTATAATTTATTGTACTGGAAACATTGCAGATCTTCTGGCTGATTTGAAATATATAATAAATTGCCGTTCACTATAGTCATCCTATTGTTCTTTCAAACGAGAACTTATTTCTTCTCCATAACTGTATGTTTGTACTCACTAACCAACCACCCTTTATCCCCTCTCCACCCTTTCCAGCCTCTAGTAACCATCATTCTACTCTCTACCTCCACAACTGCAACTTTTTTTTAGCTCCCAGAAATGAGTGAGAACATGTAGTATTTGTCTTTGTGTACCTGGCTTATTTCACTTAACATAATAACTTCCAGTTCTATCCATGTTGTTGAAAATGACAGAATTTCAGTTTTTTTATGGATTAAGAGTATTCTATTGTGTATTATCTTCTCTTTTGTTTAAGCCTCTGTTAGCCTGGGTTCCTGATGACACGTCTAGACTGGTGTCCTAATTAATACTGTAGGTAAAGCAAGAATCTACGTTCATTTCCATCTTGTCTCTATCACGAGCCTGTGAGCTCCTTATGATGATCCCTCCCTACATTTCTTCAAGTTCCTCATGGTAGGCCCAGCATTATCCTAGGCTTGGAACAGAATAGACTCTTGTGAATGCTTATTGGATGAATGAATGAATGTGTCAGTGTGTTGTGTTGGGAGCTGGGAAAGTTGCATCAGAAAAGCAGTGGGATGAGAGTCACATACTCTATACCCTTGTTGGAATTTATGTCTAGGAATTTGTGTTTGGCTGCTTGTAACAGAAAACCCTAATCTTGGTTAATGACTTAACCAAATAGTGATTCATTTTCCTCAAATGGTAAGGGTCCCGGTTTCTGCACTGGGTTTGGTGCAGTTTGGGGGGTGGTCAAGCCTAAGTTTCTACCATTCACTTGGCCTCTTCCTTATGGTCACAAGATAGTAGCCAAATCCGACAGTTACATCCATGTCCCAGGGAGGGGTAAGGAGGCAGTAGGAAGAAGACAGAAGGGAAAGTTAGCCAAGTCTGTTCCCTCTTAAAGGGCTCAGGCTGCTTCTGCCTTTTGCAGGGCCCAGAATAAGAGTACAAAGGGAGGTCCAGCTACTATATGTTTATATATTTAAAAGTTATAATTCAAGCCAATAGACAATTAAGTAATATATGTTTATCTTCCTACCCTCAAAATGACAAAGGAAAAAACATGTCAAGCTATACTTTTTTCTATTGCACCCAAATTCAATGTGGAATTGAGCTATAATTTTTTTAAGACTGGAAGTCATGAAACACCAAAGACAATTGAATTTAATTATGACTGAATATATCTGGGATTCTGTTGATGAGCTACCAAAATCTGAATGAGACCAATGTATTATAATAAAACCAATTATTCAGAAGTTATGATATATTTATTTCATACATTATTTTTCTATCATCTGAGCAAAATTCAATAATTATGTATTTTATGTAATTGTAGTCAAAATATACAGAATTTGAATATATTTTCATTAAGAGGTGTCAGTTAAAGTGAACATAGTTGGCGAGGCGCAGTGGCTCGCTCCTGTAATCTCAGCATTTTGGGAGGCTGAGGCGGGTGGATTGCTTGAGGTAAGGAGTTCGAGACCAGCCTGATCAACATGGTGAAGCCCCGTCTCTACTAAAAATACAAAAATTGGCCAGGTGTGGTGGCACATGCCTGTAATCCCAGCTACTCAGGAGGCTGAGTTAGGAGAATTGCTTGAACCCAAGAGGCAGAGGTTGCAGTGAGTCAAGATTGTGCCACTATACTCCAGCCTGGACAACAGACCAAAAAAAAAAAAAAAAGTAAACATAGAAATTCAATAATTAAAATTATTATTATTATTATTTGAGACAGAGCCTTGCTCTGTCGCCTAGGCTGGAGTGCAGTGGTACGATCTCAGCTCACAGCAACCTCCGCCTCCCGAGTTCAAGTGATTCTCCTGCCTCAGCCTCCCGAGTAGCTGCGATTACAGGCGTGAGCCACCATGCCTGGCCTTAAAATTATTTTTAGTATACATCTTCTAGAGAATTGTTTTCCTAAAAAAGTCTTAGTTATTCAACAAATTAAAAGGTAAGATTCTATTGCAGCTCACAAGCATGATGACTGCCCGTTCACATGCTGGCATGAGATGTGTCACCCTCGAGAACCTTGTTATGACATCGGCATGTTATCCATCCCACATTTAAAAAAATTTTTAAAAAGGTAAAATACTCATTCTAATTCATGCATATTAACATTACTTAAAGCGAAATTTTACTTAACGCTAACAAATTTAAATAAATCTTATTAAACATCTCCATGAAAATAAAACTTGACATTCTACCATTCAACATCTAAGTGATTGCCAGTGTAAAGACTTCATATCATTCTTCATGCAATTCCGTTTAGACCTCCATATTACAGATTTCAGAGCAATATGAGTTGTTGAATATGACATGTTCTTCAGCTGCCACATACAATTGCTGTGAATGCCCTGTAAGTGGTGAGGACCTTCAGAATAGTGGGCTGGAACTTGAGGAGAAGCAAGAAAATAGGTGTTTGGGGCAACTGGGAAATGCTAGTTTGTTGTGTAGGAATATTAAACCCATGATATCTGCTGGGAAGGAATTAACAAGCAGCTCGTGTTTTTCCATTATCTAAGCTCTTCTGTCATTCAAATCCTTCCTGCTCTCTGAGCAGCATCCACCTCCAATGGTGGATGTTTCAAAATTTCCAGGCTCAGAGTGTTTTAAGGACATAGGGCAGGGCAAGAGTTGTGAACGTGTGTATCCCTGGGCCTGCATGGTGTTGATAAGAATGAATATTTGGGGTATGGGTTACACTGTGTCTGTGTTGAAGACCTGATCCCAAATGATAGAGACCATCTTTGTGTTTGTTAGGAAATATTTATGTGCGTGCGTGTGTGTGTGTGTGTCCGTCTTAGTTCATTTTGTGTTTCTATAACAGAATACCTGAGACTGCATAATTGATAAAGAAAAGGAATTTGTTTCTTACCGTTCTGGAGGCTTAGTGAGTCCGAGATGGAGGGGCTGCCTCTGGTGAGGGCGCTTTTGGCGCATCCTAACATGGAGGGATGATGCGAGAGTGTGCGAGAAAGGGTGTGGGGTGCCTGACCCCTTTCCTTATCAGGAATCCACTCCTGATAACTCCAGACAATGGCACTAGCCCATTCAGGAAGGCAGAGCCCTCGTGACCTAATCACCTCTTAAAGGTCGAACCTCTCAACACTATTGCATGGGGGATTAAGTTTCCACACATGAACTTTGGGGGACACAGTCAAACCATAGTGCTGTGTGTGTGTGTGTGTGTGTGAAAAAGAGAGAGAGAGAGAGACAGAGAGAGAGGGAGAGAGAGAGAGAGACCTTTGAGCAAGGCCCTCTAAAGCAGGAGACCCAGAGCAGAGTCTAAGGACAGACAGCACTAAAAAGGCTCTCCGGAAACTCCCCTCAAATGGCTTCTGCTTACATCACCTTGGCCTTGACTGTATCCTGTGGCTGCTGCTGGCTGCTGCAGTGGAGCCTGGGCACACTGTCAATTCCTGCAAAACCAGGAAGCAGGGGGAATAATGATCAAGTTGGCTACAGGTGGTCTCTGCCACACTGCCTGCTCCTCCTGCTGTCTCTCTCCTCAGGACCTTCTCCCAGCCTCCTTTCCCTTCTCTCCACATCTAGGCCCTCGCTGCCGTGCCTCCATCTCAAGCTGGGAGTCCACATTTCTCTTATGTCACTCCCGGCCAGAGCTGCCAGGCCCTGGATGAAGAGAGTGACAGTGGGAAGTCCTAGCTGGCTCCTCAGTGCTCCCCAAGCCACGCCTCCGGGAGCATGCTGTCGTCCTTGGGCCCAGTGGTTGTCACAGCTAACTGGCATGAGCAGTGAGGTGGGAGGGGAGAGGAACCGGGTGCCACTTGTCCCCCTGCTCCTCCTCCATACAGGCGTGGAGGGTCCTTGTCACCAACTGGTTGTAGACTGTTGTCCTCTGAAGAGCTGCCAGGAGGGTTTACAGCATTCCGCATAGATCAGAGAGCAGCATTTTTCTCTGGGAAGGTGCAGGCCCCTCCAAACCTTGCTCCAGCCACAGGGATTCCCCTCTGGGTGGCTCAGTTAGTTTCCCCTCCCCTCTTAGACCCTGTCCCTTGCAAAGGTAATATAATCGAGGGAAGCAGATTTTTGGGAGAATGACTCAAGGCTGGGAAGGAGAGATATACTCTCAACATAATCAGTTACTGGAAATATTTCAGCAAGAAATTGCTTTTTGTAGGCTCAGAAGTATGATTTTTTTTTTTCAATATTTCCCCTGAGGCCAGACCACAGTGATCCTCTCTCACTCCTTTCTACCCTTGGGACTTCAGGCGTCTGCCACCTGGTCAAGGAGCAGGACTCAAGCAAGGTAAATAGTGACTGATGGCTTATCCCAGAGGCTGGAAGCTCTGGGGAAGAAGTGGGGCTCTCAGAGGAGCCTGGCATGGCGGGGGTGAGAGGAGTGCATCTGTGGGCGGTGGGCTGGAGCCAACTGTGTGCATTTGTCCTGCTGAAGTAGGAGCTAGGCTACTCTTTTCCCTGTGACTTCCTCTTTTCTGGGACCAGCCATTCTGGAGTCGCACATGTGGCAGTGGGGGGCAGGCGGTGCATGGCGGCCCTAGAAGTGAGTATTCTTATACGTGCAGGTGCATGATGCAGCCAGCCCTCATCTTCTTGTGACTAGTCTCTCCTGACTGCATCGCTGGCTCTGAATTCACAGGTGTGAGGGCCAGCAACCCTAAAAGGACACCACTCTGAAAATGAAAGTGCAGAGTAGCACCCAAGCTGCTCTGTGAGCCAAACTCTGCACTTACCACGTCAGCTCTACCAGGGCCACTGATGGAGACCAGTCAGGCAGAGGGACAAGCCCAAGGGGCTGTGGACCCACAGGCCTTGGGGCAGGGGAGAAATGAACTGGATTGGAGAGGCAAAGGCAGGGAAAGGCTTTTTTCTGTGCCTTCCTGGCTGCATCTCACACAAAGAGAAGCCAAAGGAATTCTTGCTGTTTCTGTAGGAAAATTGTGTGGCATGTACAGTGTATGCATGTGCGTGTATCTGGATTAGTCAGTATCACGTGTGTGTGTGTGAGCGCACAGTACATTCATGCACACATGTGTGCGCATGTACACATGGGAGCACACAACTAATAAATCTACAACAAATGTCATCCGGGGTGGAGGACCACATCATCCTTTTAGTTCAAGAGCTCATAATTGGGGCCCGTGAATGGGAGCCAGTGAATCCCCTGAGATTACATGCCACAATTTTTCATGGAATTTTTCTGGAAGCGAAGCCTTGATTTTCCTCAGATGCCCCATGCCCCAAAATGACTTTTCTGCCTATTCTGTGATAGGTAGAATAATAGCTCTCCACATCCTAAACCTCAGAACCTGTGAATGTGTTATGTCCCACGGCAAAAGAGAATTAAGGCTGCTGATGGAATTAGGCTTGCTAATCCTTTGGTCTTGAGAAGGAGAGATTATCTTGGATTATCTAGGGGGGCCCGGTGTAATCACAAGGTCCTTATATAAGTGTAAGGTCTTTTAAGCTGACTGATGGCCCCATGGACCCCATGTTAACCTCTGTGACCTGCATGGACACTCCAGATGAGTTCCTGGAAAATCTAAAGTAACTGCAAGATCATGAAAACAGGAAGAAATGATCAACCCCTGCAGCACCTACTTAACTTTGAGACATTCTCTATGGTTCCTTACACCTGCCCCAATTGATAAGGCCTTTGGACTTTGTAAACGAATTTGGTCAACCTCATGACTCCACACCCTTCGACCCCCTCCGCCCAGCTTGCAAAAAATGCCCTAAACTGTAACTTCTGTAACTTTCCACTGCCCACCCCAAACCTAGAAAACCAACTCCTATCCCACCGCCCTTTGCTGATGCCCTTTCGGCCTCAGCCCATCTGCACCTGGGTGAATAAACAGCCATGTTGCTCACACAAAGCCTGTTTAGGGGTTGCTTCATTCAGAGCTCACGTTTTAACAAAAAGTAAAAGAGGAGAGTCAGAGAGAGCCTATGTGTGGACGACTTGCCGCCATTCCTGGCCTTCGAGATGGAAGGGAACCCAAAGCCAGGGAGTGTGGGTGGCTGCAGGAGCTGGAAAGGGCACAAAAATGGATTGTCCCCTAGAGCCTGCAGAAAGGGACCCAGCCCTACGGATGAAACTGCCTTTGCAAAATTATGGCAGACAATGAAAGAGAGCTAACTTAATCGACTCCATCTTTCTTCTAACCTCCAAGCTGTCCTTGCTCATTCCTGGACATAGGCTGAATTAACTTTGGGAGATAATCAGTTTATAGTTTAAAACAAACACAATAACAGCCCTTTCCCAAAGTGAAACTCCTTGCCTAGGCACTAGATTACCTTTGTAGGACTAACAGCCACAAGATTAGAAATAACGGTTTAGGACTCAAGCAACTGAAGGTGACAAGACTCTGACCCTCCCTAAACTGCTCTGAAGGTCAGTGCTGGAGATACTTTGCAAATACTGCACTTGATGGATCACGGGGCAACACCCAGATCAATAAACTGGCTCATCTGATTCTGCGGCCCCCGCCCAGGAACTGACTCAGTGCAAAAAGCCAGCTCTGACCCCCTATGATTTCATCCCTGACCAATCAGCACTCCCGGCTCACTGGCTTCCCCCAACCCACCAAATTGTCCTTAAAAACTCTGCTCCCCGAATACTCGGGAGACTGATTCAAGTAATAATAAAACTCGGGTCTCCGGCACAGCTGGCTTTGTGTGAATTACTCCTTCTCTATTGCAATTTCCCTGTCTTGAGAAATGGGCTCTGTCTAGGTAGTGGGCAAGGTGAACTCTTTGGGCAGTTATTTGAGCTCCATGAGACCCATTTTGGACATGTGACTCCAGAGCTGTAAGACAAGAAATCTGTGTTGTTTTGTTACTCTTGCCAGAGTAGGTAGTTAGGCAGACGTGAGCACAACAGGAGAGGCCCAACACACACACCAGGAATGTCAGGTGATGATCAGGTGATAGTCAGCTGGTTGTTAAACTGCCCCTCTAAAATAATAATTGGTTGTAGCTGGTGCTGGGCAAAGGCAATCTCCCAATAGAAAGAAAACACCTGAAGCTGGTGATCAGCAGCTTCCCAATAAGACTGGGCAACTGACTCAAGCATGCGTACTA